ATTGATTTGTGTGTGTGTGTGTGTGTGTGTGTGTGTGTGTGTGTGTGTGTATTTCATACAGAACATCCCAAACAAGCTTATTCATCTGTATACCCACATCCCAAATGGCACCCTTCCATAGCCTCCCCCACCCACCGGAGCCCATATACTCTGTCATCCCTATTACTGTCCACTGTGTGGTTGGTGCCCCCAGCCATTCCCCAGTGCTTGTCTATCTGCTGAGTTTAGGGAGCCTATCTAGAGTTCCTTATTTTAGGAAGGTCAGCTGTTCCTCATCTAGCAGCAATCAGTTGCCAATATTCCTTTAGATAAGATTGGGGTCTGCTGTTCATTTTCCCAGTTCTATGCTGGGTTACTGTCTGGGAGTCTCTTGGGTCACCCTGGCCAACAACTAAAAGAAGGTATCTTCTGTCTGGCATTGTTTCTTGTTATGTAGCCTTTAGCTATACACATGGACTCTTAAAGAATTATATTGATCCCTTTAATCTTTGGTTATACTTTCCTTTTGGGTGTTTAAGACCATATAGTCGGCCCAGATAAACAAATTTATTTTTACTCTTAAGGTCATTTGAGGATCTGTTCCTTAGGGGTCACATGGGCTTGGGAGGAGCCCCTGGCTCCATTCTTCTACCAGTTTCATCTATGTGAAGATAAGTCAAAGGTCCTGCTTGATCATGGCTGGCTTCGCTTGGCAGCATGGAGGAAATGATTCCTCTGTGTTGACTCTCCTCTTTGTAGACTAGACACTAGTTCAAGTCCATCTCATGGGGTCTCCATGGCCTCCTTGATCAAGAGGACAGGTGACTCACCACAGTTACAGGACATTTTGAGAGGTGCTCATAGTCCCCTGGAACTTAGTTGACTTTGGAGTAAGGAGCAAAAACTGTCCTTTAAGTCCCTCTGACCAAATTAGTATAGGCCTAAACATTAGTATAGGCTGTTAAACATCCAAGAAGGTTAGTTCCACCAGTCTGGTACTTTTAATTACCATCTGTTATATAGCTAATACTTGGGCAAAGGCCAAAGGTTTTCAGATAAATCTTGCCTAGACATATATTATGTTCCTTGAGCTAGCTGTATATAATTTTTTAATAGGTTGTTGGATTAATATGGTTCCTTCTGCTTTTTTTTGTTTTTTTTTTTTTTAAAAAAAAACCATTTTCTCTCACATCATTTTCTCTCACATTGTCTAACCCTTCCACCATGGTTTCCCCATTTAAAGTACCACCCATTTCCCCCCATTTGTCCCTTAATTAATACCCTTCTCCTATGGTCCCACCTCTCTTGAGCTCCTTCTTTCCCTTTATCCCCAAGATTCCTTGTATACCCTTCCTCCCTCCTCCCCTTTAAAATAACCCCATTTTATCTATATCTCCTTTAAAAAGGCTAACCTAATACAAGATAATCGATATTGGGCCATGCAAACTACATTCTTATGAGTAGGTGCTTTTAGAGACCTAAGTTAAAACACTGCTGAAGAGATGAAGGAACAAGTGTTCAAAGGGACTATGTCGAGCAGATGGTTTATCCCAGGCTGAATGATGGGCCTGCTGCTGCCAAATTGTCTCAGCTCCTGTTTTTTTTTTATTCCTTTTTAAATAACAAGATAACAAATATGGGGCTTTGGCTGTTAAACATTAAAGAGAAAGGGTATCAGGGAAAGTAAGTGCTCAACAGTAGGAGGCAGTTTTCAAAAACAAAAGCCAGTGTCTACGACCATCACGTTTAAATAACTGGAGGTGATGAGGCAGCATCAACAGAAAATATTTAAGATCATACCCAGGAACAGGTATAAAGTAGCTTATTTGGAATTCACGAATTCCCTGCTTTACAATTAAAACAAAGATGAACCCACCAGTGTATGTGATTCTAAGGACCTCAGCCTCATCGATATACTTAGTTAAAAATAAAATTAAATTATTTTCAAAGAGAACACTTGACAGTCTATGTGCTAGAGCTTGGGCAGGCAAAGCTTTGCTCAGTGAGAATTTGCAAAATTGATGCTAATTTACTCAGATTCTTTATAACAATAGAAGTGATCTAACTTTGTAACTACTGCTGTGATGATCCAGGGCTGTGGGGTTGGCATGATACAAAGTAAAGACTTTGCAAAAGAATGTATCCATTGAACCTGTCTCTCAACTTTAAAATGATTGAAAAAAAAAAAAAGAAATGTGAAAGGATCTTAGACACGTGGAAAGGTCAAAATAAGAAAAACAAAAACCATGATACTGATTTCTCAAATAAGTGGTTAGAAACAATTCCCGAAGCTTTCCAGCCTCTGCTGCAGAGGGGAAGTCTGTTGTTCTTAATCCTGGAAGGGATAGTGAGGAGCTCAGTGCCTTGGAAAGGAACCAAGGAACAGTAAAATAAACATACATTCCCCCTTGGATGCAGCAACCCTTCTTCCTGGGAATCATTTCAGTACTGCTCTGATTGCTACATGAGCGGGTGTGCACACACATCACAAGTTGCAGCGATGTTTGTAATGAAATAATGAGAAACAAGTGTCCGACAAGTAGGGTAGAGGCACACAGTGGAATTCAATGATGGTATGTTTTGATAAACGGAGAAAATATCTGTATGGTACTGAGAAGCGAGCTCCAGGACACAGAGTGATGGAAGGAAGGCTCTGAAGGAAACGCAGGAGGATGGCCCAAGCCATTGCCCGGAAGAGGATTATTATTATTATTATTATTATTATTATTATTATTATTATTTTGCTGAGGGACAAAGTGACAACAGTTGTAATGTTGCTGATTTTCAATAAAAATTCCTCCAAATCTGACTTTAAACTGAAATTAACTATATATTGTAGTTTGCAATTCATAATATTGCCACTGTTCCATATAACTAATATTGTAATTTGTACTATAAAAATGTATGTTTTCTAACTCTTTTAGCTAGGCTAGGACACTCCAGGTAAGTGCCCAGACTCTCACCTCCAAAGACACCCCCTGTTGGTGGGAATCAGGGCTTCCAAGGTCACTGTGCTGGAGTCAGAAGCAAAACACAGTATCTTGCCCTGTTACAAGGCCCGAATAACTTGTCCGTGGGGGCTTGCTGTAGTGTTTCTCTTTACTTTTGTATGTTCAAATTTTTTCTACAATTAAAGGTGAGTATGTAAGAAATGGACCAAAAAAAAAATGATTTCTAAACATGTCTTGAGTATGAAAAAAAAATCTTTTTTTGTTTCCACAGTCTGATTTAGTGAAGAAAATGATTTACCAATACAAATGACTTCATTAATTATATGAGGGCTGGTGAGATGGGCCAGCAGGTAGCAGAGCTTGCAACCCCTGGAGCTACATGGTGGGAAGAGCAAACAGACTCGGCAGGCTGTTCTGTGACCTCTGCACACGTGCACCGCTTCACAGCAATTTTTCTTTATTTTATTTTATGTGTGTGAGTGTTTGGTCTGTCACATATACCAGATGCATGCAGTGCCCACAGAGGCCAGAAGAGGGTGTCGAATCCTCTGGAACTGGAGTTAGGAATGGTTGTTAGCCCCCATTATGGGTGCTAGGAATCAAATCTGATGCCTCTGCACAATCAGGAAAGTGCTCTTAACCACGGAGTCACCTCTTTAGCTCCATCACAGCAAAATTTTCAGAAAAAACAATTACTTCTCTGCATTTTGATGTTCTTGTTAAGAAAAATATAAAATCATTATATATTTCAGTGCATTTTTGTTAAAATGCATTTTGTATATTTTGCTATACATATACGACTAAAAATCATTTAACTATTGGTAGGTAATACTGAAGAATCACTACCACAGTTCACGGAACGAACAATGTGAGTAGCCTTTTGTATTTGGATCTGTGTGTCATTTAGAGGTACAGATATATTAGCTCTGCCTCACACCAAAACCTAATGTTGAAATAAGCTGAAGTTAAAACTTTATCACTGAATCAGGTATCGCAGTGTACCTAATTACAATTTTCAAATCAGCGAAGTGTATTTAATCACATTGTAGCATTAAAGTATGTATGTACTGAAGCAGGAATTCCTACCATGCTAAATATGTAAAAATTAACCCGGAATGTCTCAGTGACTTCATATAAGAGGTGGGCCAGGAGAGGGAAATAGAAGTAAATCTGCCTTGTCTCAGACACAGTGAGCAATTTACTGACAGCAAAACATCGGAAACAACAAACAGATACATTGGATTTCTTCAAAACCTGAAACTTTGTCCATACCGAACATTACTGATATCAGTGAAGTGAGAAGGCAACTTGTGGAATAGGAGGGATATTTCCAACCCGCACATGTGATAAGGGTCTAGTTTCCAGACTTCAAAAAAATAGTTTATTTGTATTTATTATTAGTGTGCCTCTGTGTGTATGGGGTGGGGGAGGCAAATGCATGCCACAGCACGCATGTGGAAGTCAGATGACAACTTTTGGGAGTTTGATCCTCTCCTTCCACATAGGGCCATCAAGCCTGCATAGTAAGGGCCTTCTCTCTCTGTACCATCTTGCCTGCCCAAGACCTCTTACAGCTCAATCACAAAATGACAAACCCTCCGACTTAAAATGGACAGAAGACTGGAATAGACATTATTGTAGTAAGAACATATAAATGACAAGCGCATGGTAAGAGATTCAATATCAAACATAAATGACAAGCGCATGGTAAGAGATTCAGTATCAAACATACTCACCACAGGTTATTCTACTGGAAAATCCATATAATACTGCTCTAGATCCAGAGTAACGGAGCCACTACACTGTATAGCGTTAGCCTAACCCATGGGCATTCTTTGTACCTGGCCAAATAATATTTCATCTTTATTTTCAATGCCTCTCTGTGTAGCCCATGCACAGTCCCTGGAGTTTTAGATCCCTGTGATCGAACCACCAATGTTTCTTGCTATGAATGATCAGATTTAATGTATCAGCTTCTGGGCCAGGGTTAGGCCTATCCAAAATAGTTTTACCTCGATAGTTCTTCTGTTGGTAGTATGACGAGATGGGTGAATAAAGAGCTTGACTTACCCACACAGGGCAGAGAATAGCCAAGCTGCACATCGTGGACAAACTGCCGATCGTTGAGTCTTGTCACACAGTACAAGTGGAAGCAGTCCAAGCAAATCACATGGCGATGGTTGCACTGGAAAACCAGGACAGGGCTCCTGCAGAGACAGAGAAGTTTCCCATAGGACCTCTGGTGTCAAAGGACTTCTGTAATCCCAGGGCGCTGCATTGACCATGCTCTGTGCAGAGACCTGGACTGCCCATGATGAACTCAGCCATTCCAAGGCTCTGTGCAGAGACCTGGGCTGCCCAGCTTGAACTCAGCCGTTTCAAGGCTCTGTGCAGAGACCTGGGCTGCCCAGCTTGAACTCAGCCATTCCAAGGCTCTGTGCAGAGACCTGGGCTGCCCAGCTTGAACTCAGCTGTTTCAAGGCTCTGTGCAGAGACCTGGGCTGCCCAGCTTGAACTCAGCCGTTCCAAGGCTCTGTGCAGAGACCTGGGCTGCCAGCTTGAACTCAGCCATTCCAAGGCTCTGTGCAGAGACGTGGGCTGTCCAGCCTTGAACTCAGCCATTCCAAGGCTCTGTGCAGAGACCTGGGCTGCCAGCTTGAACTCAGCCATTCCAAGGCTCTGTGCAGAGACCTGGGCTGCCCAGCTTGAGCTCAGCCGTTCCAAGGCTTTGTGCAGAGACCTGGGCTGCCAGCTTGAACTCAGCCATTCCAAGGCTCTGTGCAGAGACGTGGGCTGTCCAGCCTTGAACTCATCTATTCCAAGGCTTTACCTAAAACACTGTAGACACTCTATGAACTATACAGAACATTAACTGTCATAATTTTATATTTTATGTCAACACATTTATCAATTAGTACTTTACACCTGAGGTCAAATGTTATCGCTTTCTAGATACCTGCCCTGATTCTCAATTAACCTGCTCAATCACCTTGTCCACGGTGTCTCTTTCTACCAGTCCACTGTCACCAAAACAGCACTGATGCATTTCTTCTCCTTATCAACAGTGATTTCCTTGTAGTAGATACTGTGCCCATGTTACATTGATATTCCCATAGATGTAGCCCTTGGAGACATTCACATCATCTTCCATTTAATTATAATCCTATAAGCTCTGAACTTCTCCCAAAGTCAAGAGGAAAATGATGATTGCACCAAAGTATATATGTTCAACAATAATCACATTATTCTAGCAAACAGAAAAGTGTTATTTAGAAACAAGAGATCGGTCAACATGAAATTTTTATCCATTTTAAGATTTTTGTCTGTTCTGTAGCCTCCATTCTAAGACAATATTCAATTTCCAGAGTTAGAGGACTCTGAATAAATCAATATGTACAAATCCTAAAAACTTTGGATTCCCTTATATGGTGATTTGAATGAGAAATATTCTCCACAAGTATATGGATTTGAACACTTGGTCCCCAGGTGATGGTGCTGTTTGGGCAGGGTTTGGAACCTTCAGGAGGCAGAGACTTGCTGAAAGAAGTGTGCCGCCGGGGCAGGCCTTGAGGGTTACAGCCTCAGGCCACCACCTAGGCTTCCTTTTACTTCCCCTGTAGGGATGAAAATGTGATCAGCTTCTGCCCCTGGTGCCCCACCTTCCCCACGTGATGGACTCTGTCTCTCTGGAACTGTAAGCCAAAAACAAACAAACAAAGAAACAACAACCCAAAGAACAAAAAGAAAAACACTTTTTCTTCCTTAAGTTGCTTTTCGTCACAGTATTTTATCACAGTAACAGAAAAGCAATCAATACACCTTAAAATAATGTTCATAGGAAAACAAGTCTCCCCAAAAGCCATATCATTTTGCAAATGAACCATATGCGCTTATGTTCAAGAGGGGACAGACGGATTGAGTATATCAATTTGAGATCAGCCCCAAGGCAATTTCAATATGAGAAAACCACTGTAGTGAATTTAGATAAGCCTATTACCTATGTGATGACAACAAATTACAAGATGAACATGCTTCATTCACACCCAATGATTAGCAGCTAAAAGGTCTTTTCAAAAGCACTTTACCAAGAAAAATTAATATTAAATATTAATATTACAGAGGATAATTCCTTAGCAACTACAAGGTTTCCAAAATTCTGCTATCGCACTTGTTTCAAAGCAGCACCAAACACAGGACAAAGTGGAAATGAAGAAACGCCCTGGTATGTTAATATCACAATCAGCCCATCTGAGGTGATTTATAGCATAGATTTATGAAATCTGGGCAGGAGTCCCTAACTGTCTATATGTTAATGAACACCCTCTTCTCTGGACCTCCCAGAGCCCTCTGAGGACTTCTGTTCCCACTTGCAGGGCCAGCTCTAAACTTTCAACTCCTCCCCTTCCAACAATTTTCCCTCTGAAGACCATTGGATGCAGCACTTTCCTATCTCTACCTGAGCTATCACGCAGCGTGCTCTGAGAACCTTTCTTCTGGAGAACTAGGCTATGAGATGGGTATTCTGCACTATGACTTTGGCAATATGACAGACTAAGCCTTACAATCTCCTAATCTATTATCAGCACAGGTAGATAGATACTGGTGGAGCTGATAGAGCATCTGTAAAATGTTCCTGTATATAACAAGGCTTAAAGGAGAGCTTAAGGGTGACCCCAGAGAGGAAACAACAATTTGTAAAATCAAACCAATCCATCCATGCACCGCCATCCCGGGGACCTGAAGGCCTGTGGTCGTTTTCCAGATTCTTCTTCCCTATGGGAAGGAACCCTAAGAAGAGAGCCCTCAGATTGGGCATGTGTCAGGCTGTGATTGTGGTTTCTCCTTCAGTTTCAATGTACTGTAAAGAGACAGAGGCCATCTCCACAATCCACAGAACATCTGTTAGTCTGATTTATTAATGACATCATGCTATTTGAAAGAGATCAGAAAGAAATGGCAAATATATTGGAAGGCATCATGTGAGACAAACTGTACAAAGATTCAGGGCCCCATATGTTATGGAAAGTTTCAGAGACCCAGAGGTAAGGGCTTGGAAGGGCACACCCTTCAAAGCAACAGGCACATTGTAAATAGGAGACCTAGTCTGGCTGAGGGAGGTATACCCTTCAGGGGCCACAGGAAGAGTTCTTATATAACTACAGCTGTCCCGGGCCACTTCATCCTCCTTAACCCAAGATGGAGGCAGGAAGGGAAATTTTCATGGTCAGAGTAATTGACTCTAATTACCCAAACCAGAATAAAGCTACTGCTACTTGTGAGGTCAGAAGAACAGATCTGGTATCTGTGTGCGTGCCATCTGCTGCATCTCATGGAGCTTTCCTCTACTGTGTGAACTGTCAAGTTGACAAAGGCAGCAACCAAGGCTCCACTGCATGGACCAGGACTTGAGACCCTTCAGGAGATAACTTGTTGCCACAGCTAGCATCAAATAGCCCTCACTACTACAAGAACTACAGACTTCAGCAGGGGTTTAGAGAACGCCTGTCTGGAGTAAACTTGGGAGAAATGGACAGCATGGCTTGGTAGACACTGAGAAGTGAAGGCAGTGGGATTGGAGAAACACAGATGTGGTCAGCACCGGAATTGAGGACAGAGAACTATTTAACACTGTACATAGCACGTGGACAATAACCATGGGAAGCAGGCATCGGCCACAGCAGAGAACACACACCTGTGTATGTTCACTTTGGAAAAGAGAAATTTCCAAGTTGCAAGAAGTCAAAAGAGACAGTTGAGTCACTCAGGAATTTTTATCATGTATTGTACACAGTCAATTAGTAGAAATATACAAATATCACAAAAATATTAAATATTGATAGTTAAATGTGCATGCTAATATATATATATCTGTTGGATATAAGTATATATATTCACACAGAGAAATTATATAGACATAAGTCACTATGTCTGCATTTCACACAGAACTGTCAGTCAGTTAAATTTCTTTATATAGCTATGAAATAAGACTGTTCATCTCATATTAAGGATATTTCTTGTACTTATGACAATTAGGCGAGGGCTAAATGTGACATGCTTGAAACCTCAAAAGCAGAGTGGAGGAGATGAGGGAGGAAGGGGCAGGTTCTGGGTAGGGATGGGGGATGACTCTGGGAGACAGTCTCGGCATGTGGTCTCTAGACTGCTGGACTCTGAAAGTTTTGCTGTGGTCTGAATACTCGTGTCTCTTTAGACTTCATATATTAACCCACTGTCCCCGAAGTCACGATATCAGGAGGTGGGTTTCTGGGAAGTGAGAATGTAACCCTCATAAACGGGACTCGTGCCTTTGTGAAAGACATCCCAAGGAGCAATGTTGCTCTTTCCACCAAGCGAGAACAGAGTCACTGTGTATGAGCCAGGAAGCAGGTTCTCACCAGATACCAAACCTTCTGGTACCTTGACCTTGGACTTCATAATCTCTAGAACTGTGAGAAATGTTACTGTTGAGCAACAGTAACTCAATGTTGCTTAGTTCAGTATTTTGTTATGACAGTTGAAGCAAACTAAGACAGTTTCTGAACATGTGAAGGGGGTGATGTTTTAGGAAGTTTAACTCTGAGGAAAGTTTGGAAGGAGGAGTCTGAAAGTGGAGAAAGCCATCTGGGGGCCATTTCTGTAACTGAGACATGAATTACTAAGGAGCCAGACGTGGCGTGGTGAGAAGGAAAAGATGGATGGCGTTGAAATTTTTGGGGAGGACCCTCCTGACATTACTCTGTGCCCTTTGATCAAATTATGTAGAAATGTTAATTGATCAATCTAGAAATGATTTTACCCCAACGAAACAGGTTGCAGAGCAGTTAATTAAAGGTGAAATAAAGTTCTCAATCATATGTAAAAATAATTTTAATGTGTTGCTTGACATTACTGAAGAGTTATTTGTAAGCAATGATTTCTCTGTTTTTGTTAAAGGAATGATCCATAAACCGTTTGTTCATCTAATGTTCAACAAAGTTGAAGGAGATTAAGCAAGTCGCAGATATGGAAAGCCATCACATATATTACCCGAGCAGAATATTGTTGCACAGCAATGAAAACCTGTAAACCCTTACAGGATTAGTTCTCTAGTATCTACAAAAGTGCCATCAATGTTTTTATGTTTATTTTGTAACCTGTGAGTTTAATCCATTCTCTTTCCTGTTCCCTCTGTTATCCCCCCACCATCTCTCAGTTCATCTACTTGTTT